GCTGCTGTAACAAAACACCACAGCCTGGGAAAGTTAAAGACAATAGGGTTTTGGGCTCACAGCTCTGGAGGCTGGAGTACAAGATCCAGAGATAAGTCATAAGTAGAGTTTGTGGGTCTCAAAGGCAGAGGCGGTGGCAGGACCAAAATACTGAATATGCAGGAGATAGTGAGTAAACAGAAGGCCTCAGGAGCCTCAGGGCACTAAACATTGATGATTGCTAAGTACACAAGTGCCACTTAATGTGCAGGATCACTAAATATACAACAGAAAGGCACTAAGGCCGCCTGCGTAGAAGCAGCTGCCACTAGGCAGCGGTGGGACAGATATGGCCAGCATCCCACTGCAGCTGACGCTTGGTGAGTGGCATGCAGGAAACTAGAGACTCTTCCAGGCAGGTCCGAGGCCTACTCTGGCTATCAGAGTTGGGGGTCCTGTGAGATGGGAAAACACACAGACAGGGACAACGAGGATGAGTTCAATACAACCCACACTGGACAGCGGTCAGAGCAGGTACCCAAAACTGCTTTCCTGAAGGACTGGCATCACAAACACTTTAATGCAGCATCTCAGGAGAGGAAGAAATTGTAGGGAAGAAGGTGGTAGTTTTTTACGTTTTGTTTTCTTTTTAATTGGAAGACTCAAGCATTTTGGTGTTGAGCCATGTGGGAACTGACCAGCTGGGGCTGGGGAGAGACCCACGGCCAGGAGAGGGGAGGAGAGGGATGTGGGACACGGCTGAGCCAAGCTGCGTTCTGCAAAACTGCAAGCTCTCTCTGTGGGTTACTCCTGAGGCTGGCTTCAGCTGCATTCTCCCTCTGGGACATATCTCCTTTTCTCTTCTTCCTCCATAAAGTGCCTGCCCATAGGGGTGTGTGAAGTGTCAAGAGTAAACTTCCAGAGAAGGTGGGTGCATACTGGGAATGCAGCGGGCAGAGAAAGGTCACGATGCATCCACAGGAAGACAGCCAGCCCTGTGGAGATGAGCTGCCCACAGCCACCAAGAGGACCTTCTTCTCTCCACAAGGTCCCCAAGTTATGGCTGCTGCTGCACTAAAGGCAGTCCCTGCTGCCCCTCTTTATACCTGGGGTAGGCCAGTGGCATCCTGGAAAGCACTAGAATGGGCCTCTCTCCTCTCGGGCATCTGTCTACCCTCCCCACAGCCCTTCTGGGACCCCAGGCTTTCTTGCCTTTCCTTTTTGTTCTCCTCGTTACGGGACGATTTGGTACACATTCGTGTATTAGGTTCAGATTTTTAAAAAAATTGAGTGGTGAAATTCACATGACACACAATGTACCATTTTAAAATACACAATTCAGGTGCATTTAGTACATTCACAATGTTATGCAGTTACCACCTTTGTCTAGTTCCAGAACATCCTCATCACCCCTAAAGGAAGCCGTCCCCACTAGGCAGGCACTCCCTTCCTCCAGCCCCTGACAGCCAACAGTCTGCCTTCAGTCCCTGTGGATTTGCCTGTTCTGGACATTTTGTATCAATGGACTCAGACAATCTGTGGCCTTTGTATCTGGCTTACTTCACTGAGCATGTTGTCAAGGTTCATCCCTGTAGTAGCATGTCAGTGCTTCATTTCTTTTGAATGACTGAATAATATTTCATTGTAACTGGATAGACCGCAATCTGCTTACCCATTCCTCAGTTGATGGACATTTGGGTTGTTTCTACCTTCTGTATTTCATGAATAATGCTGCCATGAGCATTTGTGTACATGTTTGTGAATAAATGTATATTTTCATTTCTCTTGGGTATATATACCTAGGACTGGAATTGCAGGACCATACGGTGATGTCTTCTTTATGCGAGAGTCTAATGAAGCTGAGTGCTCCATTACAGGCTCATGCCTATAATCCCAGCACTTTGGGAGGCCAAGGCGGGCAGATCACCTGAGGTCAGGAGTTTGAGACCGGTCTGACCAACAAGGTGGTGAAACCCTGTTTCTACTAAAAATATAAAAATTTGCCAGGCGTGGTGGCAGGCGCCTGCAGTCCCAGCTGCTTGGGAGGCTGAGACAGGATAATTGCTCCAACCCTGGAGGCAGAGGTTGCAGTGAGCTGAGATCTCGCCATTCCACTGAGATCATACCACTGCACTCCAGCCTGGGCTACAAAGAGATACTCCATCTCAAAAAAAACCCAAAAAACAAACAAACAAACAAACAAAAAACAGCCAGGCATGGTGGCGGGCGCTACTTGGGAGGCTGAGGCAGAAGAATCACTTGAACCCAGTAGGCAGAAGTTCCAGTGAGCCGAGATCACTCCACTGCACTCCAGCCTGGGACACAGGGCATGGCTTTATCTTAAAAAAATGAAAATAAAAATAAAAAACAGTCTAATGAACTTTCTTTTACTGAAGCAGGTACCACTGGGTAATTTACTACATTTCTGAATCAGATAACCGGATAGAGAACCAGATCTTAGACCAGAGCTGTCCAGTGGAACTTTCTGTGATGCTGGAAACATTCTGTATCTGTGCTAACATGGTATCCACTGGCCACATGTGGTTAAGATGACTGATGAACTACATTTTGTATTAAATTTTAATTATCTGAAAATTAAATAGCCTGTGTGGTTCGTTGCTGTGTGTGAAACACCATAGCCTCAGAGATAACAAACGCAGTGCTACCCCAAAGTAGCCCTCCCACTACGCTGCCTCCCCCTTCACTCCATTTGAGTACCTTTTACAAAATCTGGAAATCCATGGTGATAATCAAAACACTTAAAGCCCCCAGACCCTGCAAAAACCTTAAACACCATTAAAGGGTATTTGAAGAGATAGAGTGACCTACATAGATATAAATACATAAAGATAAATTTCAACTGAAAATGAAGGCTTTCACAAGAAAAATAATGAAAAGAGCTCTGAAGGCTACTTCCTCTCCTGGCCAGTCCTTGCAGTTTTGTTTTACTGAAATGCTGCCCACTCATGACACACACTGTGAATATTGTGCTGTTTAGATCCACACTGTTGGAGCAGCTGCTTACCAATTTTTGGTTCAAATAGTTTCATAGCACTGGGATATTTTCTAAAGACACGCAGATTTGTGGTTAGCTGGGGTCCAGGAAGGCCTGACTTGAGTAGACCCAATTTTAATAGGGTAAATATAAATTACATAACATTCCTGAATCATTTTACTGGCCTATATTTGTTATTACAATAAATAATAATTGCTAATTACCCTGATCTGATAATAAATATATTCAAAATATCACTATGTACCCCATGTAATATACAATTGTTAGGTGTCAATTAACTACATACTATCACATTGGGGATTAAAGAAAAAATAAAAACAAAGTAGGAATCATTCATATTTTGAGAAATAGATTAATGAAAACTGTACAGATAACAACAGAAGAGTAACACTTTCTGAGCTCTGATTTTGTGGCAAACATTTTTTAAGGGATTATAATGGATTAAATCAATGAACCTCTCTCCTCCAAGATTTAGAGGCTATTAACACAGCCATTTCAGTTAATTCGCCTGAAGGTCTCCGACCCTCTTAAACCCTCCTTTTTATAAGGAAAAATGTAGTTACAAACAGTTATTTTCCTCAAGTCCACATGTGTCATCATTCATCTGGTTCTAACAATACTCATTGTAAATTTGCTTAACTCGCAGATTTAGTTTTCCTTTTCAGAATCAGTGTACAAATTATTTTGTTCTGATTTTAGCAATCAATTTAAGCGGATCTTTGATTAATGTTTGACCAACTGGAATTAAACAAACTAAATTCCTTTAAATAATTATCCTATTCCAAATTAAGCCTTCTTAAAAGGTTTATACTTTTCAGCATCTACTAATGTGGTTCCTTTTAAGTACTGAACCTTTCCTTATGACCTTTAGAATTCCCAGCCAAATAGATTAAATCTTAACCCTGGTGGAGCTCACATTGTTAAAACTTAGCAATTTAAATAGAAATCCATAGACTCACTCCTCAGAATTAAAGTGCAAACTACTTAGAGATCATAAATACTTTTAATATCAGATAAATCATTAAGAAATTGCATTCTGTACTTGACGACCACACTGGAACCTTGCCGGAGTCAAGAGAACTTGTCACTAGTAATTATGAAGACACCTTTACGGTGAGCGTATTAAAACCCCTACCAGAGGTTTTCGATGGGACTCAAGAGCAAGGCGTAGCCACCTGTGGGCGAGGGTTCCTTGCTGTTAACAGAACGCGTTGCCCACCAGGCGAGTATGCGACCCAATCAGTCTCCAGGGTCTCGGTTCCCGTTGCGCCCTTCCCCATGGCCACTGGCGCTCATTCATGAGCCTAGGGTGATCAGGCCTCCGTCCTATAAAAGAACTGCAGGCTCAGTGAGGCTCTTTTCTCGAGATGGTGGGTGGCTCTGAAAAGAGCCTTTATGTCCATCAAAGGGGCCCCGGGGGCAGCGGGCGGCCTCACTTGCCCTTGGCCTTGTGGTGGCTCTCCGTCTTCTTGGGCAGCAGCACGGCCTGGATGTTGGGCAGGACGCCGCCCTGCGCGATGGTCACGCGGCCCAGCAGCTTGTTGAGCTCCTCGTCGTTGCGGATGGCAAGCTGCAGGTGGCGCGGGATGATGCGCGTCTTCTTGTTGTCGCGCGCCGCGTTGCCGGCAAGCTCCAGAATCTCGGCGGTCAGGTACTCGAGCACCGCGGCTAGATAGACCGGGGCGCCGGCGCCCACGCGCTCGGAATAATTGCCCTTGCGGAGCAACCGGTGCACGCGGCCCACGGGGAACTGCAGCCCCGCGCGCGATGAGCGCGACTTGGCCTTGGCGCGCGCCTTGCCGCCCTGCTTACCGCGGCCGGACATTTCCGATTCAGGGGCAAAAGACAACAAGAACCCAAAAGCGAGACCGAAAACAGGAGGGAAAAGAACTCCAGCGAGCCCTTATCTATGGTAAGGAGGTAGGCTAGACCGCGGAGTTCGATTGGATGGCTACGGTAGCCAATCAGAAAAAGAACCTGGCACTCCTAATTTGCGTATTCCTTTCCCAGCGATGACGTAGAACAACGTTTGATCCAATCAGAAGTGAGCAAATCCTGAGCCTTCATTTGAATACAAAACGTACAAATAGAGTTACTCCGAGCGCTGCGCGTTTTTTTGGAGAGACACAGCCATCATGCCAGACCCGTCCAAATCGGCTCCTGCGCCCAAGAAGGGTTCTAAAAAGGCCGTCACCAAGGCGCAGAAGAAGGACGGCAAGAAGCGCAAACGCGGCCGCAAGGAGAGCTATTCTATCTACGTGTACAAGGTGCTGAAGCAGGTGCACCCCGACACCGGCATCTCGTCCAAGGCCATGGGCATCATGAACTCCTTCGTCAATGACATCTTCGAGCGCATCGCCAGCGAGGCCTCCCGCCTGGCGCACTACAACAAGCGCTCCACCATCACGTCCCGCGAAGTGCAGACGGCCGTGCGCCTGCTGCTGCCGGGCGAGCTGGCCAAGCACGCCGTGTCCGAGGGCACCAAGGCTGTCACCAAGTACACCAGCTCCAAGTGAGGCGTTTCCCGGCGTCCTGAACCCAAAGGCTCTTTTCAGAGCCACCCACACGATCGAGAAAGGGTTTCGAACACGGTGAAGGGTTATGTAACCTAATATGTCTCCATGCGCCCTAGCGGTTGCCGGGTGCGGCCGAATCGGAACCTCCTCTGTGTGTGTGTGTGTGTGTGTGTGTGTGTGTGTGCGCGCGCGCGCGCGCCGGCAGAGAACGAGAAAAACTGCTCATTACAGAAATTGGGGTAGAAACAGTGCTCAGGTGATGTAGCTCAGTAATGTTGGGAGCCAATCAAGGACCCCCTCTCCACCCCCTCCCTCCGCACAGACATTAACACACGACGAGACTTTTTGTTTTTTTTTTTTTTGAGACGGAGTCTGCTCTGTCGCTAGGCTGGAGTGCAGTGGCGTAATCTCGGCTCACTGCAACCTCCGCCTCCTGGGTTCAAGCGATTCTCGTGCCTCAGCCTTACGAGTAGCTGGGATTACAGGCATGGGCCACCACGCCTGGCTAAATTTTTGTATTTTTAGTGGAGACGGGGTTCCACCATGTTGGTCAGGATGGTCTCGATCTCCTGACCTGTTAATCCATCCGCCTCGGCCTTCCAAAGTGCGGGAGTTACAAGCGTGAGCCACCGCGCTCTACCCCAAATGTCTTTTATAAGCAAGTGGTGCATTCTTGGATGTTGAGCGCTTGCGCCCGGTTCAGGACTGGGTCCAACTGAGCTTGGCGTGCGCGGTGCACTTGAGCGGTGCGGGTCACCTCCCCCAGGAAGACCCTGTGCCAACTTCCCCATCCCTACCCGCACCCCATGGGTGAGGCCAGACGTGGCGCAAGACCACGGGCTCTGAGGCCATGGGCGTTGTCACGTTCCCCTGGCGGTGGTTCCTGCCTCTGCATTTGCTTAAGACTTCCATCCCTGCCTGGACCAGAGAGACATACTTAGATTTAAGTGATGAACATTCTGGGAGGATATTTTCCTGGCAGGATACTGCGATGGCAGGATGTTTGATACCGAATCGAAGCACTGCGTCAAAGCAGCGCCGTGCGCTGGGGAGCCGGATGTAATAAGCGACCCCAGCTGCCGGTAGCTTTAACCCTTATGGGAGTGGGGGTGGGCGAAGGGGTTAATTCAGGAGGGGAAGAATTCCCTTTTTCTGAGCAAATGTAGCTGCCTCCCTCTTCTACCACATTGTTTTCTGCGAGGCGTTAGCAACACAGAATTCCTTTCCTACCCCCTCCAAATTCACGGCATTTATTTGGGGACTGCCATTTTGGCGCAGGAAAGCTCTTTGGCACGAAGAATTTTCGCTCTGGAAAGGGCATTGTTTACGTTTTCATGACTTGGCTTTTCTTGTTTAGAAAAAGGAGATTTCCAGTAATTGCTTCCCCAAACCATTGTGAAAATTCGAAGTATTGAGCGTTTGTGTCACCGTTTCCAGCAGGGAATAAAAATTCAATAAAGCTAAATGAGAATTTTTTTTTTTTTTTTTTTTTTTTGAGACGGAGTCTTGATCTGTCACCCAGGCTGGAGTGCAATGGCGCGGTCTCTGCTCACTGCAACCTCCGCCTCCCGGGTTCAAGCGATTCCCTTGCTTCGGCCTACGGAGTGGCTGGGACTACAGGCGTGCGCCACCCACGCCCAGCTAATTTTTGTATTTTCAGTAGAGAAGGGGTTTCACCACGTTGACCAGGATGGTCTCGATCTCTTGACCTCGTGATCCACCCGCCTCGACCTCCCAAAGTGCTGGGATTACAGGCGTGAGCCACTTCTCCCGGCCGAGAAATAATTTTTTAATAAAATTAAATGAAAACTATTTTTTCCCCCCAAGTCATCTCTCCAAAGGGAACGCGTCGTGTGCCTGGGATGCGGAAGGAAAGGTCAATGTGAACATCCTCGACCAAAACGGCTTTGTCCACTACTCCCCACCTTTTTTCCTGCGTGGTTCCTCTAAAGAATCTTTGAGAACCTTGTATATTTAAAGCTATCTAAAATATTTTTATTTACAATTAAAATAGTTGCAAAGATACAAATATCAATACGGGACTTTTTAAAAATCAAAATTCTCACATCAGTCTTAAGGTGCCTTTTGGAATATCACTATGATAGTATGATCAATTCATAAAATACATGACCAAATTTTTCTTTGACAATGAGAAGTTTCAGATGATTTTTTTCTTCCTGAATGCCTATTTCTATTCTCCATTTGCCTTACAATTTCACCCTACCATAATATATCTATTGTATGTTTAATGGTGTTTTGTGTATTATCATTCTCTGCAAAAAAGTCTACATTGAAATTTAAACTACCTCTGGGTAGTCTCTCAGTGTTTTAGAAAAATCATCTCGACAGTACACAATTGTTCAAAACATAAATAATTTGATAGATTATTATCAAACAGATAAACTTTTAGTGAAACTGACTCTTTTAATGAGCTGGATGGTGCATCTACTCTTCTCCTCCCCTTCCCACCTCAGTGACTGCATGCATGCAGTGTTCATATGGTTACAGTGTTAGCAGAGCATGGGATCATTTCCATATGGTTACAATGCTAGCAGTGCACGGGCTCATTTCCATTCTGTTTTGTTTTGATATATGCTCCAAAAAAATTTAGAAAAAATACACAGGAACGGCAACTTTGTCATAGGCATTTTATTCCATTCTTTGCATCCCCAGTTATAATCCAAATAATAAACAGTGATCCATCATCAAAAGTAAGTGGGACTTATCAACACCCTTAGTATTTTCAAGAAACATAGAATTTGTATGAAAAGCTATTGAATCCAGTCCTCTCCACTATGAAACAGGTGCCCAATGACTGGAACATCCAAGCCCTCAGCCTCCTGTCAGCATGGATTGGAAGTCAATACCTTAAACATTTGCAGCTGTGAAATTACTCTCACAGATCCATATAGTTCTTCACCTTAATGAACTTAAAACATAGGTTTAATAAAGTGAAACCAGTCTCCAGCAGAGAGAGTGAATGATTGTGTTAGCACAAGGCAACAACGATGGTTGGTGCCAGAGATCAAATCAAGGCAGAAGATGAATATTTCATGACCATTTCCAAGTGTAATTCTCTAAGAAGGCATTTTGTGATGGATAATGTCAAATGTCAGTCAATTCATGTCTGACATTCTGATTCCCCTGACACAAACTTGAAGTAAAAACAGGCTGTCTGTCTCTTCCTGCTGCGTTAGCACCCCCAGGCCCAGAATGCATGGGATTTGTACCTCTCTCCCAGGACAGGAATCTGTTAAGGGAGAGGCAAAGAAGGTAAAACAGGATCCCTGCTACTGAGATTTTATAATGGAGAAAATTGTGTGTCCAGAACCCATTTCTCTAATTATAGTGTTACAACGGAGAAAGACAAATGTTAATGATAAACGGAGTGCACATCAAATATGTCAGAATCCACGGGAATTAGGACCCACTCAACAAAATGGAAGCATTTTCTGGGTTGGAGAGACATGCCAAGATTCTCAAACTAAGCCAGATTCTTAAACTAAGGTTCATATCTCACCTATCTGAGATGGGTGAGTGACAATCACTGAAATACATGTCAGATTGTATGCCTACAAAATCCCTCCAGACTGGCATACAATCTGAAATGTATTTAAGAGATTGCCCCTCACCCATATCAGATGGAAATTTCAAGTCAGATTGGCTAATTATTATGCAGTAAATAAAATAATTTGGATGGAATCATCTCCAATTAAAGCGACTTTGATTAAAAAAACAAAAAATAACATGTTGGTGAGAACGCGGGGAAAGGGAATGCTTGTACACTGCTGATAAGAATGTAAATCAGTACAGCCACTACAGAGACGAGTATGGGCATTCTTAAATAAACTAAAAACAGACTTACCATATGATCCAGCAACCCCACTGCTGGGTATATACCCAAAATAAAGGAAATCGGTATATCAAAGAGATGTCTGCAGTCTCATGTTCATTGCAGCACTATTTATAATAGCCAAGAAAGAGAGTTAACCTTAATGCCCATCAGTAGATAAATGGATAAAGAATATGTGGTATATTTATACATTCAAACACAATTTGGCCACAAAAAATAATGAAATCCCATCATTAGCAGCACCATGGATGGAACTGGAGGACATTATATTAAGTGAAACAAATCAGGCACAGAAAGACAAATACTGCATGATCTCACTCATACGTGGGGGCTAAGAACATGGGTCTCACGGAGGTAGAAAGTTGATTACTGGTTACCAGAAGCTGGGAAGAGTGGTAGGGAAAGGAGGAGATGAAGCCGATCAATGGGTACAAAAATACACTTAGGAGAAATAGTAACATCTAGTGTTGGTTAGAAAAGTAGGGTGACTGCAGGTAACAATAATTAGTTGTATTGCTGGAGGAGAGGAATTGGAATGATCTCGACATTAAGAGGGGGTGAATATGATGACGGATGTCCCAGTTGCCCTGGTTTGATTGTTATACCTATGCGTATATCAAAATATCATATGTATCCCCCAAATATGTACAACTATTATGTACTACTAATAAAAAAGCTTATTGCTCTGAAAAAGTGCTCTAAAAAATAAAGCCTAGGACGGGCGCGGTGGCTCACACCTGTAATCCCAGCACTTTGGGAGGCCGAGGCAGGTGGATCACGAGGTCAGGAGATCCAGACCATCCTGGCTAACACGGTGAAATCCCGTCTCTACTAAAAATACAAAAAAATTAGCCCAGCGTGGTGGCGGGCGCCTGTAGTCCCAGCTACTTGGGAGGCTGAGGCAGGAGAATGGCCTGAACCCAGAAGGCAGAGCTTGCAGTGAGCCGAGAGTGCCACTGCACTCCAGCCTGGGCAACGGAGCGAGACTCCGTCTCAAAAAATAAAAAAAATAAAAATAAAATAAAAAAATAAAGCCTATTTACAAAAAGAATTTGGACGAAAGAAAACTCCCTTTAAGAAAAAACTAACCCAAGAAAATTGATATACTTTACGAGACCATAGAGGTTAAATGTTGATAAATGCGTGGCTGTCATTGTGTTGGGGATGTGCAGTGGGAACTGAGCCTGGATAGAGTGCATCCTCTACCAGTGGGAACTGAGCCTGGAATCTGAATCCTAATTCCAGGCAACGTTTCTGCTTAGAGGGTGGTTGGGGTGACACAGGTATGGGGTATTTTTAGGGAGAGGACAGCCTGGGCCCCAGTCAGGCCTGCATGCCTTAGTTTTTACTTAATGTGTCATCCAGAGATCATACTTATTTTGCCTATGATTTGCTGGAATTTTTTTAAAAAGCACTATATTTGCATTATTCAAAATAATCTTTCACTGTGCATTTTGCGTACACACACATACACACACATTTTTTGGGATAAAATACCAGAATCCCTTAATTGGGGAAATTTTAACTGAGTGATAAGGAGATAGGTGAGCCTGCTGTTTTGATGTTTCAAGCAGGAAGGCGTGGCATAAAGAGCTGCTTAGGCGCAACGCCGCTGAAAAGGTTTTGGCTAGAAGCTCACGGTGTCTAGTTGTGGCTAAGGAGGGAGGAAAGGGGCGGGAGAAGGGCGGACCCAAGCGCCCGCACCCAGACGGCGCGACCACCCCGTCACCCCCAACCCCGGACCTCAGTGAGCACGTCCTCCAGTCTCAGCCACCAGGAGGCACTGGGGGAGGGTAAGTGGCACAAGATCTTCCTGGAGGTGACCCACGCTCCTCACGCGCAGGACGTACGCCACACACAGATCTTTGGGTAGGATCCATGGTTCAATCTCCTGTACTGCGCCCTCTCTGACTTTGCCTGTGGCCAAGAGAAGACTAACGCAGTCTTTCTAAGGGAAATGCACCATTACAAACAGGAAGCCTAGTTTTATCTCTAAGACTTGCGCCTCCACAACTCACTCTACCTTCCCCCATTATTCCAGTTAAATCACAGGTCACAACCAGACCAGGTGGCACGCTCCTTTTTGAGCTTGGAGGTGGCTCTGAAAAGAGCCTTTGGGTTCGGGGCGCCGGGACGCGCCTCACTTGGAGCTGGTGTACTTGGTGACAGCCTTGGTGCCCTCGGACACGGCGTGCTTGGCCAGCTCGCCCGGCAGCAGCAGGCGCACGGCCGTCTGCACTTCGCGGGACGTGATGGTGGAGCGCTTGTTGTAGTGCGCCAGGCGGGAGGCCTCGCTGGCGATGCGTTCGAAGATATCATTGACGAAGGAGTTCATGATGCCCATGGCCTTGGACGAGATGCCGGTGTCGGGGTGCACCTGCTTCAGCACCTTGTACACGTAGATAGAATAGCTCTCCTTGCGGCCGCGTTTGCGCTTCTTGCCGTCCTTCTTCTGCGTCTTGGTGATGGCCTTCTTGGAGCCCTTTTTAGGAGCCGGAGCCGCCCGCGATGGCTCCGGCATGGCGGGGTGACAAGAGCTCCTAGACGAACGCGGACGCGAGGCGGGCACGGCTATTTGCCATCTTTATATTCAAATGAAGGCTCCAAATCTGTAGGGTCTGATTGGACGGCCTGATGCCGAGGCCGCCACCGGGAGGAATTTATGTAAAGAGGAGAGTCCGGTTCTTCTTTCCTATTGGACGGTGGTCCAACCAATCCCAAGGCATATCCGCCGCGCACAGGAGCTGAGGTTGAGCATCTTTGTTCAAAGCCTTTGTTTTAAACCTGGAGATTTTTGTGTCCGCAGCGGATCTGCAGGTAGCTAAAAAGAAACTGGAAAACTGTTTCAACCCCAAATTGCAGTCTTCTCTGGCTGTGAGGCACATACATGGGGGCATTTTTTTTTCCTGAGGCCCACAGCTAAGGAGTGGTAGTTAGTGCTTATTTAGAAGGGGAGGTGGGGGTGGGAATGGCAGTTTGCAACGACCTTAACCCTTCATTTCTTGCCCTTCCCTCCATTCCTCCAAAGATCAAAGGGATGCATTCCTCTCAGAATTCAATTGTAAATCCAAACGGTTCGTTAGAAAATACAGAAAATAGTACAGAAAACATACAAAGGTACTTAAATTGGAATTGTAGTCATGAGGCAGAGTTTTAACTGGAGAAATAAATTGAATGGTTTTCAAATGAAACCTAGTCCTGTCTACTGTTTTTAAAATCCCCCCAAACCCCTTTGAAGTGACAGCCATAATGCAAAGGGCTTGCTATGGGCGATCTCATTTGTTTCCCAGTGTCCCCGAGAGGTGGGTACTGTGATTGCTTGCGATTACCCGTCAGAGGGCAGGCTTATGGAAGGCACTGTCTCCGAGCTGCGCCCCTCTCCCCGCCATTATATTAACTCCCAATGAAGAAACGTAAAGAGTTGTGTATTTCAGCTTCAACTGAAGAGCTGGTTAAAAAAGCAGAATCTCGGGCCCACTCCAATCTGATTGAGTCAGAATTTGCATTTTAAAAAGACTTATGCGCACTTTACAATTTGAGAAGCCCTAGTCCAGAGGTCATTTATCTGCCCTAGCTGGGGCAGATAATTTACCTCTCCATACCTCCATACACTCATCTGTGAAATGAGGCTGCCAGTGCCCACCTGATAACGTTGCTGAGCATTAATGAGTGTGAAGCAGTGGGCAGAGTGCCCAGCATCTGTTTTGTGCTTAATTCCTGTAAGCGCCTTTCCTTCTTAGGACTGATCCAGCCATAAGCAGCTTGGGCTACCTCAGCAGAGCGTGCTCTATGTCCGGGGCAGATCCATCACATAAATATGTAGCACGAACCTTTCTCTCTCACCAGCATGCTGACTGAGCTTAATTCACAGGGAAGGATGTGGCTTTCATGTCTGAGTCTCCAGAGCACAGAGTGTGGCACTCAGCAGGGGCCCAGTCAGTATTTGCTTGTGAATAAGCCTGTGAGTTGAGGCAGTGCCTTCTACATTCAAGTCTGTCCTCTGAGGTCTTATGGGCATCTTGAGACTGTGGGTTCCCTGAGTGGCTTTGGGCATACCCAGCATTAAGCACTTTATCTGTTTCCTTTTGAAATATGTGGTTGATTTAACAAGCATTTCTAGAGTGCTCACTGAGAGCTGGCTAGGTAACCACTTAATAAATACTTGATTCAATTTAGTTCTCAAACAGCCTTTCGACTAAGATTCTCTGCTTGACCAAACTCTGGTCAGGCTCCAGAACCTCCTCCTGGGTCCATCTGTGCACTTTCTTGTGAAATCCAGTTTTAGGAAGAGCCCCGCTAAGTCAGTTTAATCAGAATCCCTGATTCTGAATATCTGATCGCCCTCTGTGCTATCTGATGGGGTACCTCATCCTCCATCCCCAGGTGATGTCTGATCACCCTGCCTGCCTCCAGCAAGAGCCCTGTGAAGTTGGTTTACCCAGAATCCCCCTCACCCCTGATGTCTTCTTCTTCTTCTTTTTTTTGAGATGGAATCTTGCTCTGTCACCCAGTAGCACAATCTCAATTCACTGCAACGTCCGCCTACCGGGTTCAAGTGATTTTCCTGCCTCAGCCTCCTGAGTAGCTGGGATTACAGGCATGCATGACCATGCCAGGCTAATTTTTGTATTTTTAGTGGAGACAGGGTTTCGCCATAAAACTGCTGCCCTCAAGTGATCCACCCTCCTCAGCCTCCCTAAGTGTTGAGATTACAGGCATGAGCCACTGTGCCCGGCCCTGATGTCTCCTCTTAATACTGTTCTATCCACTGATCTACCCTACTCCTGTCTATACATTTCCACTTGTCAGTGCAGTACTCAGAGTTGAGCCCAGTTTCTCTACCCTGCTGCAGAATCCCACTGCAATGGTCCTAATCCTACTCCATCATTCTGAATGAAATCTTCCTCACCATGCTTTAACAAGTGTTAATGTATATACATATATAGCACTGCTTGCCTTGGTCCTGCCAGCCCAGTGAGAAGCTGGTCTTCCCACCAGGTTCTTACTAAGGCTTCCTGGCTTTCTACTGGTATGGGAAGGTTTGAAACAAAACTTGGAGTGGGACAGGAGGTGGGCATTCTAAGGACTTTGGGTAAGAATATGTCTTTCAGGTGCTAAGATTTAGGATTTTCTCTGCCCATCATCTGGCGGCTGCTTGGTGGTGTCAGGAAATCAGCCCTGGTTCTCATGGGTGATTGCTAGGGACTCAAAGTCTGCGTTCCCTCCAAATTTCTAGGTTGAAAACCCCCATCCCCAGGGTGATGGTGTTAGAAGGTGGAGCCTTTGGGGGATGATTAGGTCATGAGGGTGGAGTGGCATGGTAGGATTCCTGCCCTTTTAAGAAGAGACACAAGACAGCTGGCTTTTCTCTTTCTCTCTGCTGCAGGGCCCAAGGGAAAATCTTTCCCATTACCCTCTGAAGGTTCACTAAAAATCAGCTGACAAAAGGCAGATTAAAAGAGAAAAGGCATACACATTTATTTGATCATAGTTTTGTGTGACACAAAATCCCTCAGAATGAATACAGAAGAAGCTGTCTATTTTAATGCTTAGGTTCAACAAAATTTGGACTGCTATGTAGAAATAGGATTGGGCAGGATCTACTGCTAATACACTGAGTGAGGATATCCAGCAAGGCCTGTCTGTCTAGATTCTTCTTGGCCTCTCTGCGTGGCATTCATTCCTCTCGGGCATGAGATAGGACCCTCTGTGAAATGGGAGTCTTATGACCTACTACAACCAAACAAGGTGGCCCAGAGAATTTATGGTCAGCATTTGCACAGAAAGGCAGGAGTTAGAGTAATATTTTTAGGATTTGTGTCTGGCTTTGGGAAAAAGGGGTTGTGGTTTTTATGACCTGCCTTGGGGAAGAGGGATTCTAGTTTCTATGGCCAGTCTGGGGGAGAATGGGACTGAGATAGGAAGGCAGGAGATCAGAGAAAGTTTTTTGTTTCTGAGGTCTTCATTTTAGGATATCGCTTTCTAGCACCATGTGAGGACACAGTGAGAAGGTGACTAGGTGCAAACCAGTAAGAGTGACCCCACAAAACCCAACCCTGCTGACACCCTGATCTCAGACTTCTAGCCTTGGATAATCAGCACTCTTTGGGGGAAAATAATGACACAAAATGTATGTGTTGTGTAATTGTAATGTGCAATTTGTATTAAATGTGTTTTTTTTAATTTTTATTTTTTAGGTGACAGAGTCTTGTTCTGTTGCCCAGGCTGGAGTGCAGTGGTGGGATTCATAGCTCACTGCAGCCTCAAACTCCTGGGTTCAAGCAATCCTCCTATCTCAGCCTCCCAAGTAGCTGGGACTATAGGTGCATGCCACCATGCCTGGTTAATTTTTTTTTTTTTTTTGTAGAGACAGGGTCTTTCTATGTTTCCCACACGGGTCTCTTTTCTCCCAAAGACTTTGATGAATTTCTGTTGTTTAAGTCTTCCCTTCTGTAGCATTTTATTAGAACAGCCTGAGCCAACTGAGACAGTGTCTTGGATCAAGACCAACATGATGTATTGGCAGATGGACACTATGGAGTAAACTTGAAGCTTTCCTCATGTGAAGAAAAGAAGGAAAAAAGAAGAGAGGGAAGGAAGGAAAAGAAAGAAAGAAGGAAAGAAAGAAAGAAGAGGGAGAGTTGGGGAGACAGAGGGAGGGAAGGACAGGGAAAGAGAAAGAAAAAAGAAAAAGAAACAGTGGCCTCTAGCTTAGTGACCGGGTTTAGCTGATTAAGAAAAATAATAAACACCTTACCCCTGCCCCTTGCACTTCTTTAATGGTTCTAGAGTACAGTACCTGGGCTGGAAGCCAGTCTAGAAATGTGTTGAATGAATAACTGGATGCATGAAATCAGCCTATCTTTACACCTTAGATTTTTGTGCAGCTCTGGATGATGTATCCTTCTCTACTAGGATAAGGGGTTCCTGCAGTGAGCGTTTTCCCCACCAGTCAAGAAGCCAGTTCCCGGCCGGGCGCGGTGGCTCAAGCCTGTAATCCCAGCACTTTGGGAGGCCGAGACGGGCGGATCACGAGGTCAGGAGATCGAGACTATCCTGGCTAACACGGTGAAACCCCGTCTCTATTAAGAAATACAAAAAACTAGCTGGGCGAGGTGGCGGGCGCCTGTAGTCCCAGCTACTCGGGAGGCTGAGGCCGGAGAATGGCGTGAACCCGGGAGGCGGAGCTTGCAGTGAGCTGAGATCCGGCCACTGCACTCCAGCCTGGGCGACAGAGCGAGACTCCGTCTCAAAAAAAAAAAAAAAAAAAAAAAAAAGAAGCCAGTTCCCTTTAAGTCTCACAAACAAGCATTTAACACAGGCGGGGCATGTTTGCTGAGGCCTGTAATCCCAGCACTTTGAGAGACCCAAGCAGGTGGATCCTTTGAGTCCAGGAGTTTAAGACCAGCCTGGGAAACACAGCGAGACCCCGTCTCTTTTTTTTTTAAGCATTTAATAAAATTGCACGTTGCAATGGCAAATGTACATGCTCCATCCAGACCCCACCGGTAGGGTGGGATCTGTGTGGGGGACAGCACTCTGCAGATAGAGAGAGGACA